CAAAGAGAAAAAAAAAAAAAAAAAAAAAAAAAAGGGCAAGAGATCACCCCCTGGAGGGTATGGCCATGCCATAATCCCTTCTCCTTCATTCTCATCTCAGGATTTTGGTCAGACACGCACACATACGTGCCCAGTGTGCAGTCGACTATGTGGGAGTCCAGCAACATAGCCATTATGTCATCTGTTGGTCCCAGACTAAACCTAAACACACCCTCAACCTTCAAGAATCCAGAACAGGGCCAATCTGTGGCATGGTGGTTAAGGTGTCTACACCTCACATGGCCAACTGAGCAGTTCAAGTCCTGAACCTGGTGGCTTAAAAACACATGCCCAGTATATGTGTGTGCATGCCCAAAATAATGAGAGAAAACTGCAGAAGGGCCTGCAGCGTGGCCATCCCCCTAGGGGGTGATTTCTCACTTGGTCTCTCTCTCTCTCTCTGGTGCCCTACAGCAAAACTTAAAAAAAAAAAAAAAAATGGAATCTGAAACATAAGTCCTAGGACACGAAACTACAAACAACCATTTCCGTTCAACATATCTCAATCCAAAAATATTCCACATTCAGGCAATACTAAGTCATATATCAATAATTATATGAAACTCTTCTCCAATGCCTGCTCATAAAACTTTTTAATCTTTGATGTGTCTAATCACCTTATTTCTTCCCAGATTTCTGCCTTTATCGACAGACTTAAAAACTGCTGATCAGGACCAGCAGATAGCATAAAGGCTATGTTACTGGACTCCTATGCAGTCAACCGTGGCTTGAGTCCCAGATCTGGTGGTCTAAACTCACGCCAGGCACGTGTGCATGCATGCCCAAGATCCTGAGAAGAGAGTGGAGGAGAAGGGATTGTGGCATGGCCATCTCCCTGGGGGGAAATTTCTCTCTTTCTGTCTCTGTCTTTCTAGCGAGTGCACGTGCCCTATAGCAAGAACCTCTTCCAAAAAAAAAGAAAACAAACTGCTGATCCACACAAGGAAAGATATTTAAATTTAATATACTAGAAGATATTTTCAAATACCCAATAAGCTAGGTCCTATGGTGAGGCACTGTATCATTTATTAAAAATCCAAAAAATAAGGACCAGCAGGTGGCATGGTGGTTAAAGTGCTAGATACTCCCACATGGCCGACTTCGGTTTGTGTCCCCAGACCTGGTGGCTTACTTTCTTGTTTTCCCACTCTCTCTCTGGGTCTCCTTCTAGGCAAATTAAAATAAATTAATGCATAAATAAAATTAAATAATTCTTTTTAAAAATCTAATAAATATCTAAATTAATGTTAAAGTAGTTTCTAGAGAATCTTCTCTCAGTAACTACAAATCAAACAAGTGGTTTATGAAGTCCAAGTTGGATGAGTTAGCTTCATAACAAGGAAACCTTTATTTGGAAAAAGGATTCTCAGATTCTCCTCAGGCATTTTAAGTGCCTAAAAGGGAATTATTTAAGAGGTCATTCCTATTTAAAAAAAAAAAAAAAAAAAGGTAAACCATAAAAACAACAAATTTGAGCTGTGATGCTTTTAGGCAAAAGTTACACAGAACTCCTAATAAAGGAAGCAGTTCTATTCTTTTCACTTTTTTTTTTTTTAAAGGAAAAAGTAGCTTATTAAGTATGAGCAAAAGTACACTCTTGAAAGGTAGGAGCAGGCCTGAGCAGACAGAGAAAGAGTGGCTCAAAAGGCCCTCTCTCCACATATTAAAGACAGCACATGTTTATGACAACCAAATAGCAGTAAGGCATCTGGCCGGAAAAGATCAAAGAGCCCCAGGAATCTACTTAGCAAGTCTTTGTTTCCCTTTTTAAAAATATAATACCAGGGCAAGCTGGTGGCATGGTGGTTAAGGCATCTGGATCCCACATGGCCAACTGTGCAGTTCAAGTCCTAGACCCAGTGGCTTGAAAAACACACCAAATGACACAGTCAGGACTCATTTCAGATTTTTATGATGTCAAAGTTAATATAAGTTGAGTATTCTTAATCTGAAAACCTGAAATCTAAAATGTTCCAAAATCCTGGGACCAGTAGATGGTGTAATGGTTATATCGCTGGACTCCCATGTTGTCAACTGTGGTTCGAGTCCCAGACCTGGTAACTTAAATAACTCAGGCTGGGTGTGTCTGTGTGTGCCCAAAATTCCAAGAGGAGACTGAAGGAGAAGGGACTGTGGTGTGGCCATCCCCCCTGGGAGGGAGGGGGTAATTTCTCGCTTTCTTTCTCTCTGATAAGCACATGCACCCCAAGCAAAAACCTCTTTTATAAATAAATAAATAAATAAATAAATAAATAAATAAAATGCTCCAAAACCTGATTCTTTTTGAGTATCCACACAATGCCACAAGTGGAAAATTCCACCATTGACCTCACAGGACAGACCACAGTCAAAATGCCACAATAAAAAACAATTTTAAAATGTTATATACAATTACCTTCAGGCTATGTGTATTAAGGTATATATAAAACACAAATTGTTTGTTTAGACTTGGGTCCCATCCCTAAGATACCTTATTATGTATATGCAAATATTCAAAAATCAAAAAATATCTGAAATCTAAAACAATTCCAATCTCAGGCATTCTGGAGAAAGGATACTCAATTGTGTATAATTTTTATCACAAAAGTACATTGCTTTAAACTTTTATCACTTGTTAAAAACATATCTACTTGAGGGACCAGCAGATGGTGTAATGGTTACATCACTGGACTCCCACAGAGTCAACTGTCGTTCGAGTCCTGAACCCAGCAGCTTCAAACTCACGTCGGGCATGTGTGCATGCGTCGCCAAAATCCCAAGAGGAGAATGGAGAAGAGATTGTGTCCTGGCCATCCCCCTCTGGGGAGTGATTTCTCACTTTCTGTCTCTCTGTCTGTCTCTCTCTCTCTCTGGCAAGCACATGTGCCCTATAGCAAAAATCTCTAAAAAAAAAAAAAAGACAAAAAATGTGTCTATTCAGGACCAGCAGATAGATGGTTTAACAGTTATGTCGCTGGATTCTCACATAATCGACTGTGGTTCAAGTCTCTGGTCCAGCAATTTAAACTCAACGCCAGGTGTGTGTGCGTGTGCCCAAAATCCCAAGAGGAGGATGGAGGAGAAGGGAGTGTGGCATAGCCATCCCTCTGAAGGGTGATTTCTTGTTTTCGGTCTCTCTGTCTACCCAGCAAGTACATTCGCCCTATAGCAAAAATCTCCCTTAAAAACAAAATTAAAAACAAAACAAAACAAAAGATCTATTCCTTTTACAGTCAATCCCCTATTCCAAAATCCCACCTTATATAATCACTGATCTGTTCGAACACTATAAATTAGCTTTGCCTTTTTGCTCATTCTAGAACTTCATGTAAATAGATCATATATTATGTATTTGTGTCATAAAGGAATCACATAGTATGAGTGTTTTACCTCAGCAATCCCTTTCTGAGATTAATCACTTTTCTTAAAAAAATTTTTGCCATAGGGTGCATGTGCTTGCAGGAGAGAGACAGAGAGGGAAAGTGAGAAATCACTCTCTGGGGGGGGAATGCCATGCCAGAATCCCTGCTCCTCTATTCTCCTTCCAGATTCTGGGCACATGCATACACCCACCCAGCGTGATCTTGAAGCCGTTGGGTCCGGGACTCAAACCACAGTTAGCCACATGGGAGTCCAGCACCTTAACCACTATGCCACCTGCTGGCTCCTCTGAGATTTGCACTTATTAGTAGTTCGGTTCCTCTTTTATTGCTAAGTAATACTCCATTGTACAAATCTACTACAATTTGTATATCCATTTACTTTGGATTGTTTGTAGTTTGGAACTATTCATATTATGAATAAGGCTGCTATGAACATTCAAGTTCAAGTTGTTATGCTTTTTTTAAAAAAAAGAATTACTTATTTAATTTTATTTTTTATTATTATTTCTCAACCCACTACAGGACACGTGTTCTCACCAGAGAAGGAGACAGAGAAAGTGAGAAAGCAAGTCACCAGGTCTGGGACTCAAACTGCAATCAGCTATGTGGAAGTCCAGTGCCTCAACCACTACGCCACCTGCTGGCCCTATGTTCAAGTTTTTTATGGCTATGTATTTATTTCATTTCTTTGGGGTAAATACCTAAAAGTAGAATTGGTAGATCACAAGGTTAAGTTTATTTTTAACTTTCCATGAAACTGCCAAACTATTTCCCAACTTGGCCGTACCACTTTACACACCCACCAGCAACCTACAAGAGTTCCAGCTGCTATATATCCTCACCAACAATTGGCACTGTCAGTCTTTCACTTGTCTTTTAAATCTCAACCATTCTAATGGGTGTGAAGTAGCATCTCGATGTAGCTATAATTTGCAATATGCAGATGATTCCCTGCTCAAGTCAGGGAGATCGCCCCAAATATACAAGCCACACATGTCCATCATGTCCACGAGCTGAGGTGGCTGAAAACTTGACTGCAGCATCAAGACCCTACTTACTGGGTCCCTGACTATCCTCCCCCCTCTACTCTCTCCCTCTGTCTCTCTCATTCATGAAAGACAGAAAGAAACTTCAGAATTGCAGGTGTGGTGGGTTTTTTTTTTTTTGGAGAGGTTTTTTTTTTTTGCTATAGGGCGTGTGCGCTCACCAGACAGAGAGACAGAAAGCGAGAAATCATCCCTGAGGGGGGATGGCCACACCACAATCCCTTCTCCTCCATTCTCCTCTTGGGATCTTGGGCACGCACGCACATGTGCCCGGCATGAGTTTAAGCCACCAGGTCTGGGACGCGAACCGTGGTAGACTACGCGGGAGTCCAACGACATAGCCATTACGCTAACTGCTGGTCCCCCAGAATTGCAGCTTTTTAAAAAAGGTACTAGCACTTCTTTACATGTGGTTTTTCCTGACCAGGAGAATTCACTCTGGCACTTATGGGCATTCACAGTATAGACATGTAGAAAAAGCAACACCAGTTACAGTGGTTCCTCACTTAACAACCTACCTGTTTAATGATCAAGGGAACTTAGGACGAATTCTCCAGCACAAGGAGCCCCCTTTCTCAGTCTGTGAGTCTCAGGAATCCCCTTTCTCATGTTTGTCTCATTCCTGCAGTTGGTTAGTATTTACTAAATGAAGTGTTTTCTATCATGCATGCATGCTTTTTATATGAATAGAATTACATTATTCTTGTGTCATGCCACCTGTTATCTATTGGAAAGTGTGCACCCCATGGCACCATGAAGACATCCACCTTTAAGCTCCTTGTTTATGGACCAACTCACTTAATGACCTAGTGGTAGAAACAGATCTCAGTCATCAAGTAAGGAGGGCCTGTACATGTTAGTGGAAGCCACAATGACGTACAACAAAGGGCCTTACCCACGACCGCATTAGCTTTTCTTTCTCATTGCACACCTTGTCCAAACCCCTCAGCTGACTCTGGGCCCTCTACTCCCTAATAAATGAGGCAAAACGATGACTTCGGTGCCGGTAACCAACGTAGTCCTAAAAGTTTGACTTCTTCCTCTCCCTTAAGTTCCCCAACATATTTAGACACATGGAATGGCCTTCGGTAATCCTTGAAGACCGGAGACCTCAGCCTGATTCATATTCACCTTTCTCCTTAAAGCACCTGAAATCAAGGAGTAGGCAGAGAAAAAGGTCAGGCCACAAAGGGAGATAATGGCCAAAGCTGTAGATGTTACTTTCAGTCTCAAGCACCTACCCTTGCAGCTCAACCAAACTTCTCAAGTTTTCAATGTACCCAACGTGGCAGACCCTCATTACTGACATCATTTTTTGTTTCAGCTTTGAAGACTCCTTGACTGAGCAGCTACAGCCAATAGTGCCTTTTAGCAAGGGCCATGGAGTTGAGTGCAACCAAAGCACCACTCGGGTGGCTAGTTTCAAATCTCTCAAGCTATGCTTCTAAGTACTCATTAACATGGAGAACAGCGGAGGAAGCTCACTCCTGCCCCCACAGTCTTTGCCTACCACCTGGGTAAGACCACCAGATGCCACAGAGTCTTTCCAAATCCCCTAGCCTAGCCCATAAGACCTTCATCCTTCTCCGTTCAGAGGCCATGCCATCCTTACAGGCAATGGCCAGAACTGTGAGAACTGTGAGGGGTTTGAGATTTTTTATTCCCCTCACAAGCTAACAAAATAGCCTGTTACTGTTTCATGGATAATGCAAAAGACACAGTAGTCCTGGGTCAGAGACAAAGAAATGTACTCATGGGCACTGCAAGCAAGGTGAGCACCAGGTGTCTGTCAGTTCCTCTGAAGCCCCATGTTCCACAGGGAAGACGCAGAGGGGCCCCACAGATCTACATGTGCAATGGGTTTGCATCACAACCAAGGAACCCTGTGAGCTTAGGGAGCCCGAGTCTATTCCCATGGACTGGAGCAAGCCTACCTTCTACCCTTAGGGAGATAATAACTTTGTTATACTGGACAATAAGTAAATCTGCCCTTTGCTACAGCTTAAGACACTACCTCTATCATCCACCACTGTTTACTCTGCAAACATCTCTGAAAAGATCATTTGAAATAAAACGGCTGGGACCAGCAGATGGCATAATGGTTACATTGCTAGACCCCCCACGTAGGCAACTGTGGTTCAAGTCTCAGGTCTGGAGGTTTAAAAGTCATGCTAGGTGCGTGCGTGCCTAAAATCCAAGAATGGAGGGGAAGGGATTGTGGCGTGGCCACTCCCCCGCCTCCCCAGGGTGATTTCTCCCTTTCTATCTCTCTAATGAGCACATGTGCCATATAGCAAAAATCTCTTAAAAAAGAAAAAAAAAAAAGCGGCTGTTACTGCCTTACTTGTAAGAGATGTAGAAATGCAGAGAACTGCATGGAGAATTGTCTCCCAAAAACATCTCAACAATGTTGCATATCTTAAGACATATTTGTTGAAGCCTTACACATATTTTGTTAAATTTATCCCTAAATATTTCATCCTGGGGACCAGCAGGTGGTGTGGTGGTTAAGGCGCTGGACACTCCCACATGGCCAACCACAGTTTGAGTCCCGGACCTGGTGGCTTGCTTTCTCACTTTCCGTCTCTCTCACTTTCTGCGTCTCTCTCTGGCCAAATTAAAATAAATGAATAAATAAAATGAAATAATTCTTTAATAAAAAAATTTTTCATCCTAAATGCCCTTTTCTTCCATATCCTAATTATTTTTGACTAGTATATAGAAATACAACTGATTTTTTTATCAGATCATTAGGAAAGCCATGATATATTTTTCTGTTTTCCTATGCAAAATGACTTTTCTGACAACCATGTATCCTAGTCTAGCCAAATTCACTTTATTTTTTGTTAGCTAGAGGGTATATGCACTTATCAGAGAGAGGAGAAAAATACCCTACCACCACTGGATATGGTCATGCTGCAATCCCTTTACCTCTCTCTCTCCACCCTTTCGGCATATTGGGCACCCACACACACGCCCAGCATGTTTCTCAAGACACCAGTCTAGCACAGGATCTGGCTGTCCCAACGGCAGGCCACAGTGAGTCCTAAATTCACTTCTTAACTCTCATAGATTACCAGTATAGATTCCTTAGGTTCTCCTGCAAAGACAGTCAACATTTTCTGTGCAAAGTATCTGTATTTCTTATTTTCCCATCTGCATGTCTTTTTTTCCTTTTACCTATGACATTAGTTAAGACCTCCAGTAAAATGTTGACTGCAAGTGGTGAGGACAGAAATACTTGCCTTGTTCCCAGTTTTATCTGTTAAATGTAGGCTTTTAACAGATTTCCTTAACCAAGCTGAGAACGTTTACCTCTATTCCCAGCTTGCTGGAAATGGAAGTTTTATTCTGTCATGGTTTTTCTGCAACTACTGAGATGATTGTACGGCTTCTCATTTTAGTCTGTGAATTACATTGTTTTCTCTCTCTCATCCTTTCTTTCTTTCTTACTTCTTTTTTTTTTTTTAGAAAGATTTTTGCTATAGGGCAGATAAGCTTGCTGGAGAGACAGAGAGAAAAATGGAGAGAAAGAAAGCGAGAAATCACCTCCCCACCCCCCCCCCGGGGGAAAGGCCATGCCAAAATCCCTTCTCCTTCATTCTCCTCTTAAGATCTTGGGCATGCATGCAAACGAATCTGGCACCAGGTCTAGGACTCAAACCATGGTCGACTACGTGGGAGTCCAGCAATGTAAGCATTATGCCATCTGCTGGTCCCTACATTTTTTTTTTTTTTTAATTAAATTTCCGATTCCTGAAATAAATCCCACTTGGTCATGATACATTATACTTAGTATGTATAGCTAAGTCCCCACAAATATTTTCTCATGCATTTTGTTTATGTACAAGATGGAAATTTGTCTAGTTTTCTTATACTGTCTGCCTAGTTATTGTGTTACTTAATAAAATGAGTGCAGGCATGCTACTTAATAAAATGAGTGGAAACATAGTCTCTTCTCTTCAATTTTCAAGAACAGTTTGCACAGAATTATTTCTATTTCTTTATTTTTAGATCAGTATTTTTTTTTAATATTTCTGCCATAGGGCACATGTGTTCGCCAGAAAGAGACAGAGAATAAGAGAAAATGAGAGTCCTCTCCCTCAGGGAGGATGGCCATGCCACAATCCCTTCTCTTCCATCTTCCTCTTGGGGTTTTGAGTTCGCCAGCATCCTATGGTAGAGTTGCCCATGTGGGATCCAGCACCTTAACCACCATGCCACCTGCTGGCCCAACCCTATTTCTTTCTTAGACATTTGCTAGAATTCACCAGTGCAGCCGTTCACACATAATGCTCTCTTGTGGGAAAGTTATTAACTATAAATTCAGTTTCTTCAATAGATGTAGAGTTATTCCGGTTATATCTGTCTTTCTTGTGTCCTTCAAAGAGTTTATTTCCTCCACATTGTCAAATTTATTAGCATAAAATTATACATTATATTCTTTTTAAAGTTTACTTTAATCTATAGAGAAAAAAAGAGACATGCACTCTGATGCCTTGCCACTCCAGGATTCTCACCCCAGTCTCCTAGATGGCAGAATACAGGTGTATGCAGGAGTGCCTGGTATGTTCAGGTCAACCCAGGATCCAAACCCAGGTTACCCATGTGGCTCCAACCCCATGCAGTGGTACCGAACCATAACATTCATTCATTTTGGTGATTTATTCATTCACAACCATAATATTCACTGATTTTAATATCTGTAGGATCTGTAGAAATTTCACCTCTTTGATCTTTATATCAGTAATTTGCTTCTTTTTTTTCTTGATTAGTCTGGTGGAAATTTATCAGTTTTATTGACTTTTTCAAAGAATCATTTTGGCTTCACTGATTTTCTCAACTGTCCTTTTATTGTTTAATTGTTATCTTTACCTCCTTCCTTCTGCTTACTTTAGGTTTAATTTGTTCTTCTTTTACTGGAATCTTAAGATGAAAGCTTAGATCACAGTTCTGCAACTATAGCCTGGCCAAATCTGGCCCATGGTCTGTTTATGTAACCCCTCCAGTAAGAATGGTTTTTTTACATTTTCTCATGATTGGGAGGAAAAAGACAATATGCAACAGACTTATATGGCCTGCAAAGCCTAAAATATTGCCATCTAGCTCTATACAGAAAAAGTTCAACTTCTGGCTTAGATCATTGACTTTAAACCTTTTTCATTAAGCCTGTCATATTAAAAGGTTCCCCAAAGCTGCTGCAGATGCATTCCATTCGTTTTCAAATGTTTTATTATCATTCACTACAAATATTTTCTAATATGCGTCGTGATTTCATCTTTAACATATGGGTAAAAAGAAGTATGCTTTTATTCCATTTCTTTTTTTTTTAGAATTATTTATTTATCTTTATTTATTTATTTTAATTTGACCCAAGAGAGAAAGAAAAAGAACGTGAGAAAGCCAGCCACCAGGTCCAGGACTTGAACCATGGTCAGCCATGTGGGAGTCCAGTGCCCTTAACCACCATGCCACCTGCCAGCCCCAAAAACAAGTAAGCTTTTTAATTCCCAAATATTTCAATTGTCTAGCTATCTAAATATTACTGATTTCTATCTTAATTCTATTATTGCCAGAAAACATAATACTCTGTTAACAGCTCCATCATTTGAAATTAGAGACTTACTATATGACTTAGTCTATCCTGAGGAATATTCCATGCACATTTAAAAGGAACATGTATTTGTAGTTGCTGAAGTTAGTTCTACAAATGTCAGTTAACTCAAATTGGCTGTGTTATATAATATATTAATAACCTTGATTTTTCTATCAATATCCTTACTGGTTTCAATATCCTTACTGATTTTTCACTGTCTTATCAAATATTTTTGAAGCTCTATTATTAGAAGATGTGTTTTATTAGTCCTATTAAAAGAGATTAAGAATTACAGGAGTAAGAGGGACCAATAAGTGGCATAATGGTTATGTCGCTGGACTCCTATACGGCTGACTGTGGTTCATCCCACACCTGGAGACTTGGAACTCACTCCAGGCGCATGTATGTGCATGTCCAAAGTCCCGAGAGAATAGAGGAGAAGAGATTGTGGTGTGGTCATCCCCCCAAGGGGGTGCTTTCTCACTTGTCTCTCCATCTCCCTGTCTCTCCAGTGACTGGAGACACCTATAGCAAAAATCCCTGCCCCCCCCCCCAAAAAAAAGAGTGACAGGGATAGAAATTGTCTTTAAACAAGGAGCAAAGGTTCAAACTTTTAGGAAGAAAAGGTCTGACTGACTGGGCCATATGGGACTGTGTCATATGGGACTATGCAGAGTTTCAGAGCCAGGACTCTTCATAAGCACTGAAGAGATGACAGGGGACTGCTTATGATTAGACACCTTTATCTATCTCAATCGGGGTCACATGCAGGGCATGGTGGCCTATGCTAAAAGAAACTCTCAAAAAGAACTTGTGGGCATGGCAACAAAGGGTTTGGCCAACTAGTTACATGAATCACCACCCTAATTTTATCCCTCAGGAATGGAAGCTATGTCCCAGCACGTGCAAGCTCACCATCACTGTGCTGGGGACCACTATAAGAAAAGGGAGGATCTTCACAGGCTATGAAAGCTGAGCTGCAGTTCGCCTCCCCTGTAAGAGGGGTGGCCTGGGACGGCACGGTAAGGGAAGGATCATGCAATGCCTTCCCCATGGCTCCAATATATTTAATCCATAAAATAAAAGTTCTGAAGATGAAGTATGTTTCTGGAAGCCAATACAATGAGTTTCCCCTCCCTAACAGTTAAACGTAGATGAACTGTTTCAATCCAGTGAAAGTTAAAAAGTCACTCATTTTGAAAGTCTATCATTTCTAAATCTGTCTCAACTATATTAAGTTTTTAAGACCCAAGAGTGCCCCATCCTCATCTCCACTGGCCCAGGCATGCCACCCCATCACTCTGGTAATTACTCCATCATAGCATCTAGCACAATCAGAAAGTACCATGGGCCAGCTCCGGTGCAGCAGTCAACCGCAGTACATACTGAGCCAGATCCCTACAGCTAACCAGTTTCAATCCTAGCTTCGGTGGCATGAAAAACACACCAGGTAGGGAACCATCAGTTAGCGTAATGGCTATGTCGCTGGACTCCCACGTAGTCGACCGCGGTTCGTGTCCCGGACCCGGTGGCTTAAAACTCACGCCAGGCACGTGTGCGTGCGTGCCCAAGATCCCGAGAGGAGAATGGAGGAGAAGGGATTGCGGCGTGACCATCCCCCCTGGGGGGTGATTTCTCGCTTTCTGTCTCTATGTCTCTCTCTGTCTGTCTGGCAAGCGCACGCGCCCTACAGTGAAAATCTCTCAAAAAAAAAAAAAAAAACAACACACCAGGTATGTGTGCCTGTGTGCCCCAAATCTGGATGGGAAGCAGAAATGGAGGAAAAAGGAGATTGCAACATGACCGTGCCTTGCTGAAGGCTGCTTTCTTGCTCTTTCTGGTGAGCACATGTGCCCTTTCACCAAAAAAAAAAAAAAGTGTGTTTACAGTCTGATTATTCCCCACTTCTTAAGAATATAAGTTATATGATGAGAGGCTCAACCAACTGGGGATAGAAAATACTTCAAAAAACTACTTCAGAAAATTCCGAAAAGTACAATTTGAATTTGACAAGCCCAGAGTACTATACTGAGTCAACAGAAGTGAAGTGTGGGCGCCCTGTTACATACTGAAGTAACCTAGAGATGATACGACTTCCTCACCACCGCGTTCCCTATCCCCAGCGCCTAGAACAGAGCTGGCAAATAATTGTAATTGCTATATAAATCTGAAGAATGAATAAGTTAATCATAGAAAGGGCACATCATCTAAGATTCTAGAATTATTTACACTGGACTTTGAAAGTAACTTTTGTCTGTCTGAATAGGATGGGTTAAAGAAAATAACCACCCCACATCACTATAAAGCACAATGACAAGCTGAGAAACTGCTCTCAAATAAGTTTTCTTCTTGTTTAATTTTGCCAGAATGTAAATGAACTTGCTGGAGACAGATTAAAAAAGAAAGAGGGAGAGGGAAAGTGAGAAAACATTCCCCCACACATGGAGCATGGTCATGCTGTAATCTTCTCCTCCATTTCTCCCTCCCCTCAGGATCTGGGACATGCATACACAGGTTCCCAGCATGTGTTCAGGTCTGGGTCCAGGTCAAACCGTGCAGACAGTCATGTAGCATCCAGCCACGTTAGCCACCACGCCACTAGCTGGCCTGCAAATATTTTTTAAGTACTATTTATTATGTCATCGGGAAAGTTATGACGTATTTTTCTATGTTTTTCTATGCAAAAATGTGTTATGACTTTCCTGACAACCCAATAGTTTTTAGTCAATATCCTCTGCAATTACAGTCCATCTTAAAATCTACAAGGTTCTCTAGGTTTTTAACTAGCTTATGATTTTTATCAGTTATTTAATTTATAAATATATTGCTTTCCAACTCTGAAAAGGGCATTATGGGAAATTAATCAAAGACTTTGCCCTAGAAGAGCTTAGAAATCAATAGATGAGTGGCATGATGATAGCTGTACTTTGAGAGGATTAACCTCATCTCAGTATTTTATTGAACTGGAGGCAAGAAGGCTGGTTAGAAGGCTTTTACAAGATCTATTTAGTTCAAGATAGAGATAAATTTTTAAAAGTTTGGTTCAGGATGGTAACCATGAAAAGAAGTAAATTAAATATAAAATAAAAAATAAAATATAAGTTGACAAATCCTCTATGACAAAACCTTTTACATTTCTTAAGAATTTCTTATAGAATATTACCATTGCAGAAATACTGTTCTGTTCTTAGTTACAGGAGCAGAACAATCTGGGTGAACAACTGTTTTCATTCTTGAACATAATATGAAGTAGAGACCTATTCCATGTTACAGATAAGTAATCATTGAGATGTTTACATAGAAATAATCTGACTAGGGGCCGGCAGGTGGCGTGGTAGTTAAGAGCACTTGACTCCCATGTGGCCCACTGTGGTTCGAGTCCTAGAGCTGGCAGCTTATTGTCTCACTTTCTCTCTCTCACTCTGTCCCTCTTGGTCAAATTAAAATAAATAAAAATAAATATACAAATAAAGTTAAACAAATTAATTTTTTAAAAATAATAATCTGATTATTTAGTAACGATACTTTTGTGCCTAGAACTTACCACTCACTAGTTAAATATCATTTAGATTTTAGCTTTAATTTCTAAATCAAATATCAGCAACATAAAAACTAGGTATAGAACTACATTTCTCAAATTAAATTGGGGGTAGACAGGCATGAGTTCTGATGAAGTTTGAAAAGGTTGTATTTTCATTTTGATGAATATTTTTCAGAAAGTATGCGTTAGATCATCTGGATAACCACTTCATATCTAAAATCAGAAACGTAAGAATTAGACTGAGTTATGGCCATACCACCCAGAACAGGCCAGATCTCGTCTGATCTCAGAAGCTAAGCAAGGTAGGCCTGATGGGACAGTGAGAGTGGACTAAAGAAAGAGGCAAAGGACTTTCAAGGTGAATGACAGAGGGCCCTGTGCATGCATGGGTGCTGCACGCAAAGGTTCCACATGCATGGATTTAAACAACTGGGGCTAGAATCTGTTTTTAAAAAAAAAAATCAGAAAGTTCCAAAAAGTAAAATTTGAATTTGTCAAGCATTTGTCACCCAGAGTCCTATGCTGAATCCATGCAATGAAGTGATGTGCAGGCACTATGTTAGGTACTACACGCAACACAGAGACGATTTAAAGTATACGAGACCTGGTCGCCTGAAGATCACGCAGGGCACATGTGCAAACATGCCCAAAGTCCCGTGAGAAGGGATCATGGTGTGGCCATCCACCCAGGTTGTGATTTCTCACTTTCTCTCTCTCTCCTCTCTCTCTCTCTCTCTCTCTCTCTGGCTCTCTCCAGCAAGCGCACATAAGCTATGAAAAAAAAAAAAAAAAGACTAAAAAAAGAAAAAAAAACAAAAAAATATGTGTAGGGTTATATGCAAATGCTACACCATTTTATATAGTGAACTTGAATATCTGTGGATTTTGGAAGAATCCTAGAACCAATTACCGCACAGATACTGAGGGACAAGAAGACTTATTTCCAAACATTTGTTAATCTAGTGAAAGTCAAACCACTTAACCTGTGATTTGATGAAGAGGGCTCTGTAGACTCAAACACAGGAAAGTGGTATAGAAATTGAGTTGTAATAGGATTTACAGTTGGCTGGCCCTGTAGTTCAGCAGTTAAGTGTAATACATATGTAGTTGGATTCCAAACAGCCTACTGCAATTCAAATCCCAGTCCTGGTGGCTTGAAAAACATGTCTTCTGTGTGTGTGTGTGTGTGTGTGTCCAAAATCCTGACGAGATGGAGGAATGGAGGAAGAGGATTACAATGCAACCACACTGCCCGGGATGCCTTCTCTCTCTCTCTGGCAAGCACACATGCCCTCTGGCAATTAAAAAAAAAAAAAAAAAGGCACACAACAGGATATAGAGTATATAGAAAACTGCTCACCTGGGCCAAGGAAGACAATAGTATGTTCACTAGAAAGATTGCAAAGAAAGATTTAGTTTCAACAAAACAGCATCATCCATGATCCTAAGTTTATTTTGTTTTACTGCTTTTATAGTTTTATGTTTATGTATTTATTTTGTTATTTAGCTGGTTTTATATTAATATATCTTAAAATATTTTTAATAAAATAAAATCATTTAGACCAATACTAGGGATTGGCAATTTTTTCACCTTGTAAGGCAACATGCTTAAGACTAAAGTGGTGGAGGAAACATGGAGATTCAAATCAGAAAGACTGATTTCCAAACATTTGTTAACCTACTTGCTTACCATGTACTCTAGGCAATAATATTTCTTTTTTAAAAATTTTTGGAGAGGTTTTTGCTATAGAGCACATGCGCTTGTGAGAGACAGAGAGACAGAAAGCGAGAAATCACCCCCCAGGGGAGATGGCCACGCCGCAATCCCTTCTCCTCCTTTCTCCTCTCGGGATCTTGGGCACGCACGCACACATGCCTGGTGTGAGTTTAAGCCACCGAGTCGGGGACTCAACCACAGTCGACTACGTGGGAGTCCAGCGACATAGCCATTATGCTAACTGCTGGTCCCTTTTTTTTTATTTTTATTTTTTTGTAGGCAATAATATTTCTGAGCCTCAGTTCACCTACAAGATTACCGTGAAGATAATCACGTGGTACACTGTCATTCAAATAAACTTTCTTTTCCTGTTCCTCTTCCTATTTCTCTATTTTGACTCACGATCATGTCATCTTTGATGTTGCTTTCGCCACAGAAATATTCATCTGCCATATATGACGCATGTTACAACTTCATGATATCTTCTTCCATTCCAACCAACCGCTTCCAAATCTCCAGAGGCTGGTGCCTACTATGATATTTATCCCTCCATCTCCTCTCACTTACAATGCATCCTATATAGAAGTTAGGAGATTTATCTCCCTAGGTGCATGTCTAAAGCTCTCATTCTTCTACTCAAAAATACTCTAACTCTCAAGACCTTCTGCAGTAAGGCCTCGGTCAACCTAGCCTCCCAGCATTACGGCCAATGGTTCCTAAACTGAAAGCTCCTAGAGGACGTACTATTTTATCTTGTATCTTAGCATAGCATGTGACATATAATAGATACAAATCTGCGATGCCCCTCTCCAGTAAAAGGGACACTGGATTATTTCAGTGGCATAACTGTTCCTTCATTT